TCACCATCAGTTGGCCGATCACTGTCTTGTCTCATGTTTCACCATCAGTTGACCGATCACTGTCTTGTCTCATGTTTCACCATCAGTTGGCCCAACACTGTCTTGTCTCTGTCTCACCATCAGTTGGCCGATCACTGTCTTGTCTCATGTTTCACCATCAGTTGGCCCAACACTGTCTTGTCTCTGTCTCACCATCAGTTGGCCGATCACTGTCTTGTCTCATGTCTCACCATCAGTTGGCCGATCACTGTCTTGTCTCATGTTTCACCATCAGTTGGCCCAACAATGTCTTGTCTCTGTCTCACCATCAGTTGGCCGATCACTGTCTTGTCTCATGTCTCACCATCAGTTGGCCGATCACTGTCTTGTCTCATGTTTCACCATCAGTTGGCCGATCAATGTCTTGTCTCTGTCTCACCATCAGTTGGCCGATCACTGTCTTGTCTCATGTCTCACCATCAGTTGGCCGATCACTGTCTTAGATTCTATGTGTCCTGGGGATTTGGGGGGGGGGAGCGGGTTGTGTCTCCTTTAATACTTTCTTGAACATTTTGAGAACACCCGCAAAGCATTATTTACTTTCATTCGATGCTGGCGGCCATATCTGTCAGTATTAACAGTTGTCGTGAGTTTGATAGCCTTGGTCAGTTGTCACGACCAGTTTGTGTGTTATGTCGACAAGTCAGTGAGCTGATTGCTGTGAACAATTTTTGATGGCTAGATTTTAAAATGAAATATCCGATGTCAGTATTTGAAAGTTTGAGGCAATGGTATCGGTCAGCATTACTTGGCACATGTGTACTCCAGTATATCAACTGTAATTTATTTCATATTAGTGCAGATAACATTTTCTATCAATTTTAGGATGTTTATACGATTCTCAAATCACGGAAGCTCATGGGCAACGAACTTGGAAGATCGAAGTCATTTAAATGTCAGTCATTTTAATGTCAGCGCTAACATGACATTCGACGACGCCTTCTTCAATTTTTACGTCATCACCAATTTTGCCGTCATTCCCGTCATCTCGCTGCTCGGCATTGCCGGCAATGTGGTCAGCATGGTGATACTTATCAAGCACGGCTTGAACAGACGCTCCAACGTCCTGATCTTCGCCCTGGCTGTCGCGGACACAACGTACCTCGTGGGCATCAACAACATCCCGATGTTTATCCACCAGGCGCGCGCCGATCACTTTGGCTTCTTCTATTCGGAGACCGCGTCGATGGTGTTGTACGTCTTGTACCAGATTTTTGTCTTCCTCGAAACCGTCGGCAAAGTTGTCTCGCTGCTGGTTCCTGTCCTCATGATAGTCGAGAGATTTCTGGCCGTCTTCTGGCCACTGCACGTGTCGAGGCTACTCACCGCTCGCCGAACCCAGACGGCTGCCCTCCTGTTGTACCCTGTGGGGATCCCACCGTACGTCTATTTTAAGAAAACGCAAGGGTATGTTTACTACAAGGACCCCGCAACGGAAACATGTGTCGGCCGCATAATGGAGGACGCCTTCTCCAGCAGCGATGTTGCTGTTTTCAACACAGTGTCTGACGTCTACACGACGCTGTGTGGACCGGTGAGCGTTACCATCGTCGTAATAGGTGTGACGCTGGTGGGTGTTAAGATTCACCTTCAGGAAAAACATCGCAGAGACATGATGACCCCGTCTGCCCCGCCCACCTCTAAACACACCAGCAGCCCGGTTCTACGTTTTAAGCGTTTGTGTTTTAAGGGAAACCCCCGAACAGACACCTACGAAGTGTCGAGACCGCCTGGGCCCCACAATTTTGAGCCCACCAAGGAAATGAATTCACGTTATTCAAGAAAGGTGCGCTGTTTGTCTAATTTGAATAACGGCCATGATGTTTTAGCTCTGGACGGGACCAAAACTGTCCCAGACATATTGCACCCAGGGGGCGACGAAAGCAGGCCCGAGGTTCGGGGAACTCCGACTACTAAAATAACTTTACACAACAATGGACAGTCCAACTCCAGACCTCCCGGAGGAACGAGGGGAAAGAGGACAACAAAAATGCTCCTGTCCGTTTGCGTCGTGTACTCCCTGACGACGACACTGAGTTTCATAACGGACATGTTCATAAGCGTAGACAAGGTGGGCTACCTTGAGTGGGCCGTCTTCCACAGATCTGGGATGACGGCCCTCTGTGTCAACAGCTCGGTCAATTTTGTCATTTACGTCGCGTTGAACCGAAAATTCCGCGACACTTACAAGCAGCTGTTCTGTCAATGTTTGAGCTGGGCCCGACAGGGACCTCTATGAACACGGCGTGGCGCTGTCAACTACATGGCGTGGCGCTGTCAGCTACATGGCGGGACACTGTCAACTAAATGTCATGAAACTGTCAATTAAATGTCGTGACACTGTCAGCTTAATGTCGTGACACTGTCAGCTTAATGTCGTGACACTGTCAGCTGAATGTCGTGGCATTGTCAACTACATGGCGTGGCACTGTCAAGTACAGAAAACAGATCATTAAAAAAAAAGATATTTGTTTAACTATGCTTCACGATACCTGTCTAAAATTAGAAGAATTGTTTCGCATTCTTCAATACCATTTTAATTGTTTGTTTTTTTAAACCAACTTCGTCACGATCTAGAGCAGTGGTTCTTAACCTTTTTGGCGGTACCGAACCCCACCAGTTTCATATGCGATTTTTTTTCCTGATTTTTTTTGGACCTCCGCCGAACCCCTAAGACTGACTCACCGAACCCCTGGGGTTCGATCGAACCCAGGTTAAGAACCACTGATCTAGAGTCTAGAGCAGGGGTCGGGAACCTATGGCTCGCGAGCCAGATGTGGCTCTATTGATGGCTGCATCTGGCTCGCAGACAAATGTTCGATTATAAAAAAAAAAGTCGCATTAATGGAAGAAATACTCATTATTGGTTAGCAAAAGCATAATAATTAAGAATTCAGAGACATAATTATTGCATTTTTAGTGTTGAAATTACACAAAATGCACACATTTACTTGAATTTTTAGTTTTAAACATAATGTATGGCTCTCACAGAATTACTTTTCAAAATGTGTGGTGTCCATGGCTCTCTCCGACAAAAAGGTTCCCGACCCGCGATCTACAGTCTAGATAGAGAGTGGAGCCACGGTCGCAGGAGATCTGTCTAAACTAAATGATCGTTGTTATTAAATAAGATTTTTAAATAAAAAAATCAACATTCAATAAAATTTAAATATTTATTGGTTATACTTTAGACCTAGTCCACATCAATGGTATTATTTTAGACCTAGTCCACATCAATGGTATTATTTTAGACCTAGTCCCTACCAATAGTTATATGTTAGACCTAGCTCCCTAAGAAAATTTTCACTCAGATTTGTGTATATAATGTGTAAACTACTATCATTCCACTAGCATTTCTTCTTGTGCTGTCCAGTTCAATGTAGAACATTTCAAAGATACATTCAGAGTTGCCCCAAATTTCATCCCTTGTTCAAATGTTGATAAATGTTCTAAGTAGTAGGATAGCCCCATCACCAGAGCCCCATCCATCACCAGAGCCCCATCCATCACCAGAGCCCCACACATCACCAGAGCCCCATACGTCACCAGAGCCCCCTCCATCCCCAGAGCCCCTTATATCACCAGAGCCCCACACATCACCAACGCCCCATCCCTCACCAGAGCCCCATCCATCACCAGAGCCCCCTACATCACCACAGCCCCCCACATCACCACAGCCCCACCCACCACCACACCCC